CAAAATGCACACAGGAGGGGGCGAGCCTGACATCAGCAGAGAAGTGTGACCAGATCACACACAAATCAGAGGGAGGGCCCTGTGGGCCATGGACATCCTCTCATATCTGAGGTCGCAGGGCCAATCAGAGAATCTCTGACTGGAGCTACCTCTGAAGTCAGTGTCCCAGGCTGTGTCCCTGGCTGGGATGGCTGCTGGGTGAGTGAGCAGGGACTCAGTTCCTGTGCCCTGGAGGTTGGGAGCGTTTGTTCTTCTGAAGTCAGATAAGTTGTTCTTTTGGGGAGAGAATCCCCAGGACCATCACCCCTAGATTTTTCTAGGGAAACATGTCCATTTTTTTACTTTTCCCTTGAAACAAACAAACAGTCATGGGCTCACTCTTCTCTAAAACTGAGAGGCTTGAGGGTGTTTGTGTGTGTGTGTGTGTGTGTATGTGTGTGTGTAAGGGAGGGTATGTGTGTAAGGGAGAGTGTATATGTAAGGGAGGGTGTGTGTAAGAGAGTGTGTGTGTAAGGGAGGATATATGTATAAGGGAGTGTGTGTAAGGGAGAGTATGTGTATAAGGGAGGGTATGTGAGAGGAAAAGTATGTGTGTAAGGGAGTGTGTGTAAGGGAGGGTATGTGTATAAGGGAGAGTATGTGTGTAGGGGAGAATATGTGTGTAAGGGAGTGTGTGTAAGGAAGGGTGTGTGTGTGTGTGTGCACATGCACTCACACTGGAGAATTTATCTGTCTACTGAATATGCTCTCCAAGTCTGGTCTTCAATATATAGCCCTTAGACACACCCTTATGTCCCGCCCCTCCGCAACCCCTATCCTTTCTTCCCTCACCGCCATCACGTGGCCTTGTTTCTTCCCCACCAGCTCTGTCCTTGGCTAAAAAAATGAAAGTTGATTATCTAATTCCCAAACGAGATGACTTATTTTCTTTTTTCAAATAGGTCATATTAATGACAGGGGCAAGATAAGTTTTTTTTTCTTTTATCTTTTTTCCTTTTTTTTTAGGCAGGGTTTCTCTGTGTGACTTTGGATCCTGTCCTGGAACTCCTTCTGTAGACCAGACTGGCCTCAAACTCACAGAGATCCATCTATCTCTGCCCCTCCCTGGCCCCCCAAGTGCTGGGATCTAAGGCCTCTGCCTCCACTGCCTGCCTGAGAGGTTCTTATTGAGTATGGATTGAGACAGGACTGAGGGTGACTCTGTCAGGTGGTGGGGTTGGAATTCAAGGGTTGCTCTGAGATCAAAGAGCTCCTAGAGACCCCAGTGCCGACATATTTTCTTTTTCTTGGGCCTCAGCTGCCTCACCTGGTTACCTGGCAGGAGGGTGTCTTCCAGTTTGTCGTGAATTGGATGTGGCTGGACACAGGGTTGAGGAACTAACTGAATGTGGTGGCCTTGAATTCAGCAACAATTTCCTTGGGATGCCTTTCTCTATTGCTTGCCACCATTTACTTTTTCATCCATCTATTTCGTGTTTATTTATTGAGCCGGGGTCTTGTTATTGAACCTGAAGCTTCTACTTTCAGTGAGACTCAGCTGGCCTGAGGCTCTGGGATCTGCCTTTCTCCACTCTCCTCAGCACCAATCCTGGCTTTTGCATGAGTGTCATGAATTCTGGATGCAGGGCCTCATATTGATACAGCAAACCCTTTACCCCCGAACCATCTCTCATGTGTCACCCCCCCTTTTTTAAAAAAAAACTTTATTTAACTTTATTTCATGCATATTGGTATAATGATGTCAGATTCTCTTGAACTGGATTTACAGACAGCTGTGAGCTGCCATGTGGGTGCTGGGAATTGAACCCAGGTCCTCTGGAGGAGCAGTCAGTGCTCTTAACTACTGAGCCATCTCACCAGCCCCCCTCACCCCCTTTTTTTATTCAAGACAGGGTTTTTCTATGTAGTGCTGTCCTGGAACTAGCTCTTGTAGACCAGGCTGGCCTCGAACTCACAGAGATCCACCTGCCTCTGTCTCCCGAGTGCTGGGATTAAAGATGTGGGCCACCTCTGACCCTCTCTCTTTCTTTTTAAAAAGAAATATTCTATTTTTAAAAAGATTTATTTATGCTGGGTGGTGGCGGCCCATGCCTTTAATTCCAGCATTCAGGAGGCAGAGGCAGATGGATTTCTGAGTTTGAAGCCAGACTGGTCTACAGCCAAGGCTACACAGAGAAACCCTGGAAAAACAAAAACAAAACAACAACAAAAGACTTGTTTTTATTTTATGCATATGAGTGTCCTGCTTCCACATGTCTGTGCACCACGTGCCTGCAGTGTAAGCTGAGGGTGTCAATCACACGGGGCTGGAATTGTAGACAGAAAAGAGCTGCTGTGCAGATGCTGTGAACTGCAGTGGGGCCCTGTGGGAGAACAGCTTAACCACTGAGCCGTCTCTCCAGTCCTGTGATGTTTTAAAGTTCTAACTTCTCAAATATCTCCCAAAAGATTCTATCACTTGCCTGGGTGTTTCTAAGTGTTTTATTTTTACAGATGAAGTTTCCTCCTTACCTCAACCCTGGGAGGTAGGCTCTACTAATGACTCCATTATGCAGATTTGGAAACTGAGGCATTGTAAGGGAGTCGGGCTCTGAAGCAGGCCATCTGGCTATGGAGCAGGAGCTCCCTACTACCTCATTCAACATTCTGGGCTCCGTGCTAAGTGTTTACCCAAATCGTCCCTGTTTTGCAATGGAGAAATCTGAGCCTCAGAGTGGTTGAGCAACAGCTGAAGGTCACACAGCTGGGGAGCAGCAGGGTTGAGATTCAGGGCCGGCTGGGCTCCAGAACCTCTGTTCTGCATCCCCTTTGGCAACCCTGCCAGACCCTCAGGCTCCACAGCCAGCTTAAGCAACCTCCCCTCATCGCTGGGTCCCTCTGGGTGAGTCAGCTCCTTTCTCCATCGAGAGAATGACAGGGGTCAGCCCCTGTGCCCTGAGGTCCCCGGCAGTCTGCTGAGCCCGTGAGATGGGAGGTGTGGTACCTTCCAGCAGGAAGGGCAGCTCCGTGGCCTGGGAATGTCTTAGATTTGGCCAATGGGTGCAGCCAGGGAGAATGTGGATGGGGGCTGGTGTGTGTGTGTGTCACAGGGGAGAGTTGAAGAAGCAAAGGGGCCTGTGGGCAATTCCAGAATGATGACGAGGAAGTGCAAACTTAGGAAGAAGGTGTTGTTACACGAAGCAAATGAGAAGGGAGAATGGGAAAGAAGACCCGGGTGGGCTCCCTGGGGGTCCTTCTCTTCTCTTCTGGAGAACACCCTTCAGTTCAAGATAGGCACAAGAGTGCATCAGGCCAGGCCTCCGTGGTCAAGCCAGCCTAGGGCTGAGGTTAGAACTCCGGAGACATGGCAGTTTGGGGAATTAACATTGCTGGGGGTTTTGTTGTTTCTGTAAATATTTGGAGACGTCCAGTTATACTAGAAAAATGTATTTGAAGCCAGGGTGGCGTGTTTGTGTGGTTGGCCCAGCTTCCTTTTCCATGACCACTCGGTTACATTCCTCCCCTGTAGGAATTGAGGGTTGTTTTCCCATCTGTAACCTCATTAGGATACACACACCCACACACACTCTGGCAGGTTCCCCTTGGGGACGGACATGTTCAGTGGCATCATCCTCTTGCCACAATGCCTGTGGTCACACAGTCGCAGCTGTACCTTTTAATATTCAGTACCCATCATCCCGAAAGCCGCTGCCCGCTGGCTGCGCTCGCTCGTGCTCGTCCCGTTCCTCCCAGGGTGCTCAGTTCCAGGCCTGGAGGGCGCCTGACAAACTGTGTTAAAAATCCTCCTAGCCCCGTGCATCCTGTGGAGGAGGGTAATGGGTGTGTTTGTGGCTCCAAGATTAGAGAATGGGCATCCTTATGGGGCGGGCTCCATTTTCTTTGGGCTTGGGGAAATTGGAATCATATTTCTGTGTGAACGGCTCGCCTCTCTCTCCTTCATGCCTCATCTATAGCCTGCCTCCAGGCTCAGAGTGCTTAGGAAGCCTTCAAACACTTTCCTGGGCATCATAGGTTGGGTTAACCTCTCTGGCATGGAGAAGGTAGGGACACAGTTGGACTCTGGGGAATAATGTCAGGGACACTTTGGGCCGTGGGGGATGGGGTGAGGGTGGACAGAGTCAGGTCCTCTCCCTCTGCGTTCCACAAGGATTCCTGTGGTGCTATCTTTTGAATGGAGATGTCCCTCCAATAACCCCATGCTGGAACCTGAGCCCATACTGATGGTACTGGAGCCCTTTGGGGGATTACTGGCTGGTCAGGAGGGCTCCGCCCTTCATGAGTGGGGCTAATGCCTTAGAAAAGGGCTTGAGAGAACTACCGTGGGCTCTCTGCTCATCGTCTCACTTCTAGAACTGTGAGAATAGATTTCTATTGTTTATAAGTTTTCCCGACTGTGGCATTTTGTTACAGGCAACAGGAACGGACTAAGACATGCGCCACTGTTACTCGAGACCGGAAAGGCGGACACTGAGTGTTTCCGGCTCTCCAGCACCCACCGAGGACTCCCATCCAGCCCGTGCCTCCTGTCTCATCGTAGCCCCTTCCTCTAGAACTCCGCCGTGACCTCCTAGCGTCCCACCAAACGCGAGTTCTCAGAGGGGTCTGAAGGCTGCCCGACAAGGACCAGGGCTGCTCCAGGCTGGTGGAACAGCAAACACACCAGGGTGTAAACGCAGCTGGGGTCCGCCGAGGTCCCTGGCACAGACGCCCCCGGCACAACCTGGCCTTTCCATTCTCCGCTCAGAGTGGTCCCCCACGTGCACGGCCGCCCGCACGGCCCTGGGCTCTGCGAGTTGGACATCCTGCCCTCCAGTCTCCTTCCATCTCTCGCGGCTCCCTGGGCTCGTCTCTCTGGAGGCACTCAGTGACCTCATGTTTCTGAGAGCTGAGAAAGGAAGGCTGCGGAGGAGGGGTGTGCGGAGCGAGGGCCATCAGGTGGAGTGTGGGGATTACCAAGAGCTCACTCACTTGCCCTTTACCAAAGAATTTTTCCCCCGGTCTTTTAAAATTGCTGTTTCCTCAAGGGAAAATTTTTATTTGTGTCTGAGTAAAATGTGTGCTCTTATAAATCGAAAGCAGAACATGAGGAGAAGGTTTCTGTTGCTGACAGAGAATAAAGAAGCAGCTTGCCGGCCTTTGTCAGCCAGCAGGGCCACCTTCCTTCTTGCCCCTGACCCTTCTCCCAGCTTTTTCCTCCCACCCTAGAGGAGAGGCCCTGACCACTTGTCCGTGTGGCCATCCAGAGCCCCAGCTGGGACTGCGTTCAGGCTGATGATGCAGCCTGGCCGGCAGGAAACACCACCCCCTCCCTGGGGAGAACTGAGGAGGGGCAGAAGGGAGGGGCAGCAGTGTTCTGAGGGAGCATGGAGACCACTGTCTCTTGCTGGCTTGGTGACCATGGAGAAGGAGGCTGGAAGAAGGGAGCTCAGTCAGAGTTAATCAGACCAGTCCATGGCTCCCCTTCCCTCCACCAGCCAGGAAGTGATTCCTCCAGCTTGGCTTTGGGGGGACAAAACCTGGGTTTCTGGAATAAGTGACCTTTGTCCTTGAATCCACGGGACTTCTTGCTAGGCTTAGAAGAGGGTTCCTGCAGAGGTCTCACTGGTCCATTCCCACCACCAGGGTGTCCACCAGCCCCACACCCTTCTCTCCAGAAGGTTCGATGGCCTCTCAAATCTTACTTTCGTCTGTCAGTTTAGGGACAGCTGTCCTGGTTTGGGTAATAATTTCTCAGCGGAGTCTCTTCCAGCCTTGGTTGAGGTAGCATGGGTAGCGGTTTCTTAGGCCCTGAGGTCAACCTGACTGGCCAGACCTGCTCTTCCCTCAGCAGCTCTTTGGTGGGTCCTGAGTCCTTGCATATGCTCCCAATCCCCATTGTAGGGCCCCTGGGAGAGTTCCTCGTAGTCCGAGCAGGGGAGCCCCTATGGGGAGAAGGTGGTGGTGGTCTCGGCCTCCATGCTCATGGAAGTGTGTCGCACGTGCCGGCAGGAAGACCACTGCCGGAGCTGCTCCTGGCTGAGGCAGCCCAGGTCCTTGAAGAGCTTGAAGAGGTCACTGCGGAACTTGACCCCGATGAAGGCGTACAAGAAAGGGTTGACGCAGCAGCGGACACAGGCCAGGCTGTAGGTGACGTCATAGGCGATGTTGAGTTGCTTGCTGAGCTCACAGCTGCTGTTGGTGATGTTGAAATTGGCCACTGTCTGGGCCAGGACCACACCGTTGTAGGGCGCCTGGAAGACAATGAACACCACCACGACAGCGATGATCACCTTGATGGCCTTGTTCCGCTCAAAGTTCCGTGCCTGGAGCAGGGTGCGGATGATGACGAGGTAGCAGAAGCTCATGGCCAGCAGAGGCACTAAAAAGCCAATGACCATCTGGGCCACTTGGATGGTGATCAAGGCCTCCACGTGGTCAGTGATGAGCGAGCATCTCCACGTGTCCTCGCTGTAGCTCTTCTGGAGGCCGCTGTAGAGCAGCTCCGGGGTGGAAAGCAATAGGGCCAGCACCCAGATACAAACGCAGGACAGTTTGCTGATGAGGAGCACGCGGGCGCGGTGGCGGTGGGCTGACACGGCCTGGACGATGGCCACGTAGCGGTCAATGCTGATGCACAGGAGCAGGAGCATGCCGCTGAAGAAGCTCACTTTATAGATACCAAAGATGCATTTGCACAGGTAGACCCCAAAGATCCAGGACTTGGCTGCACTATAGGCCCAGAAGGGGAGGATCAGGAGGAAGAGGATGTCGGCCACGGCCAGGTTGAGCAGGTAGGTGTCCGTCATGGTCTTGAGCCTCTTGAAATAGATGTAGGTCAACACCACCAGCCCGTTGCCCATCAGGCCCACGAAGCAAATGACTGAATACATGATAGGGAGGAACCAGGCCTTAAAGTTCCGCACGTCTTTCTTGAAACACACCGACTCGTACAGGGTATAGTCCACTGTGGTGTTCTCACCAATGTAGTCATCTGTGACTTCATCTTGGCAGAAGCACACCTGCGGGGGAAGACACACCTGTTTAGCTAGCAGCCTGGATCTGCTTGGGACTCAGCCTAGGATGGTGGCTCTATCACGGACTTGCTACTTCTTGGAGAGTCTCAGACCTTAGCCCCATCGAGCCAGCATCTCAGTAGGCAGGGCCCAGGAATCTATATTTGCCCCTCGAACTCTGAGTAGGTCTTTGATCTGAAATCAGTGCTTCTCAGGCACCAGCGTGTGGGGTGGAGAACTGGCACAGTGCTTAAGACTGTAGTAGATGCTCTTGTAGAGAAGTTTGGTTTTGTTCCCAGCGCTCACAACTGTTTGTGACCCCAGTTCCACAGGATCAGATGCCCACTTCTGACCTCCCCAGACAGCCCGTATACATGTGGTGTGCTTACTTTGCTTGCAGGCGAAACGTTTGTACACATAACATAAATCTAAATAATGTGTTTACTGTGCACATGAAGTCTCTAAGGAGGGGATCTTGTTAAATTGCACATCTTGACTGGGGAGACTGAGGCAGGACCTGAAGTCTAGGTTTCTACTCATCAGTAGTCACGGTTTGATTTTTGCCAACTCTTGGGACACCCAGTCCAAGGAGTCTAGGGTTTGGGGGTCTGCTGAGCCCTGAGTTGGAAAGCACACATCTTCTCTTCGTCTGGGAGATGGAGGTATCCCCTGTGCTCCACTGTTGAGAGGTATGGGGTCTCGATGCCGGTTCCTTTTCTGACTACAGAGGGTTTATCTTACTCTCAACCAATGCTGTGGTGTTGGGAAGGTGTGTCTTCTGGAGTCTCTTTTAGGTCCTGGTGGAGTTTTCTGGGGCAGAATGGGGAGAGTGCTAAAAAAATGCCTCAACTTTTGAGGGAAAACCTATGTTAGGGTCAAGGTTGAGGAAGGTCTGGAGCAAGAAGGGATCAAAGTTTCTGGGTAGGACTAGATTTCCCAGGCCCCTGGGAGAGTTCCTCGTAGTCCACTACTGTGGTGACTGTGGACCAATGGTAGGAGACATGGAGATTTCCATGGCTCCATGGTGCCCACTCCACTCGGGTAGTCGATACACACGTGTGGCGGGTGGGGCCTCTGGGGCAGAGCTCCTGCAGTGCCCTTCCTATGGGTGCTGGAGCCCCTAGAAGGAAGCTCTGTCTTCTCCCACTCTCCCTCTGTGTTCCCACCCTCTCCCCACACCTCTTTGCCTGACTTCCGGCAGATCCCAATCAGCAGGGCTCAGCTGTTCTGGGCTTTTTTTAGCCCTTTTGCAGGGCTGCAGGGTGTGTGTGGGGGAAGGTTCAGCATCTGCTGTGATTTTTATCAATGAAGGGGTGCCTGCTGTGTGTGTGTGTGTGTGCCTGTGTGTGATAGAGATGGACCACGGTAGATGAAGGGGAGTGGGTTGAAGGCCTACTTTGGAAAGCTCATGGGTCCTCCACTGGGTAAGTGACTTTCAACCACTCAGAGGCAGCCCACAGATTGTACCTTTACTGGCAACAGAGGGAGGACAAAGTGGTGTTTGGGAACCTTTTCTTTGGGCATAGCTATCTTGAGAAGAAAAGTCTGCAGCAAGGTTCTTTCCCTGGTCCAGGTGTGACTGTAGCCCCGCTGGGGGAGCCGGGAGAGGTTAGCTGCGTTTAGCCCCTCATGAATGGGTCCAAGGCCTTGGGTCTGAGGCCTGTGGATTTAAGGGGCTTGTGGACCCCTCGGAGGACAGAACTCCCAGCTTCTAAGAAGTGTGCTCCTACGCGCCCCCAGTCTTGTTCTCTCCCCCCACCCTTGCTCCTCCTCCACACCCTCCCCCCAGGCTTGCCGCCTCTGCAGCCCACAGTCCCACCACATCCGGCCCTGTCTGAACCCCCCTTCCCCCAAGTGAAAGACAAAAACCAGCCACAGATGTCTTCACCCTTCCCTGGCCTTCCAGCCAGCAGTACAGGAGGGGAGGGAGCGGTGATGGGGAAGGGGCCAGGCTAAGGGCTACAGCCCAAGCTCCAGGGGGCCTCTAAAATGGGGTTTGGGGAACAGTGCCCAGCGTGGGGCCTGCCCCTGGCCTGAGCTCCTGGAAAGCTGCCCTTCTGGCCTCTGGACCTGGGGGAGAGTCAAATTCTGAAGCATTACTTCTCCAGGCTGGCCTTGACCACCCCTTCTACCTCCAGAGAGCTCCCACCCAAATGGAGGAAACTTGACTCTGGGAGTTACAATTTCTCTGAGGGGCTTGCTGGGGCACACCTTCTGCCTCCTGGCCGGGCCAGAGAATGGAGCATTGTGAAGCAGGCTCTCTGCTCGGCAGAATTCAGATCTCTATATGTGTTCTGTTCTCAGTCCTCTCCACAGGGTCCAGGCGCCACTCTTTCTCCCGCCCCCCTCCCCACGGGCAGGCCAGCCGGCCCTCTCTTTTAGGAAAGAACATATAGAATGAGGTTACAAGGAGAACCTGGGACTGAAGGGCAAGAGGAGGTAACTTTGGGTGACTGGAGAGGAACCAGATCACCAGACCCAGGGTCCCTCTTCCAGATGTCACAGATGGACACGTGCCTATGTGTAAAACAGGCCCCCTCCGAGCACTGTGATGCGCAGGGCAATTCTCTCTAAGACCTCAGAAACTGTGTTTCTGTCTCCTGGGTGGGAAGGTGGGAGGTGAGGCGATGGAGGTGTGGGTAGGTCACTTCCCCCTGAGTTTAATTTAAGTGGGGACAAAGGAAGTCCAGAGAATGTCTGCCCCAACCCCCAAACCCCAGGAGAGAGGTGGCAGTCAGCTTAATGAATGACAGGTGGGCTGTGTCTGGGCCATTTCTTCCCTTCTAGCCAACTGTTTGTGTGCCAGAACTCCTGGTTGGAGAGGGGGCATGGAGGAGGGAAGAGAGCTTCCCCTGGAAGAGAGCAGGAAACCTCACCTGGAATATGACAAGGAGAGCCACCACCAGCACGTTTTTCATGGGTTTGCCTGTAGGAGACAAAGGAGGTGATGTTATTGCCTGGCAGAGACAAGACTCTGTTATTAAGGAAAGCGGGGGATTGCGGGGCGGGGGCACCGTTGGGAACTTTCATCCCAGGCTCCAGGCATCGCATTTGCTGAAAGAGAACATCAGAACCAGATTGTGTGTTTGAACACCTGGCCTGCTGCCCAGCATCCCTGTCTTCACCTCCCTCCCTTCCTCCTCCACTCCCAGGTCTGGGAAAGAAGCAGAACAGCTCCCCACCCCCTCCCGCCTTGGCCCGGCCAGGCTGTTGTCGGCCAGGCTGTTGTCGGTTTGCAGAATCCATTGTACCCCAACAACTCCTCAAGACTGCTGGCTCCACACAGGGGCCTGAGCACCCCCTTTTTCCATTCCACAGGAAGCAGGAAGAGGAGGCAGGGTTCTGGGGTGGTCAGGGTATATGCACACATGTCCAGCTCTACCCTGGGGGCAGGATCCACTGGCCTGGGAGCATATCTTGGTGTCCAGATGTATGGACAGCCACATGTGAAGCCTTACAAATGTCCCAAGGGAGGTGAGCTAAGGAAATGGAGACTTGTTTGCTCTCCTTTAACTTGTCTTCGAATGCCCTGCAGACAGGGACCCTTGGCTAGAACAAGCTTGTTTGTGCCGTGGACAGCTCCTCATTCTGCTGGAGGCTGAGCCTTGGGCCAGCCTGGGTTGTGTGTTCTTCTAAGCAAGAAGACAACCGGCCAAGTGGTTTTATCTTACCCACCCATCTTCGCCTTTGAGACCCTTCTCTAGCCCCCAATTCCGGTTGCTCAGATCCACAGGAGAGTCAGTCTCTGTGATGGGACGCGTGAATGTCACCTGGGCCAAACCAGACTTTGCTCCAGGCATCTTCAGGAGCCTGGGGGCCCTCTGGAGGTCGGGGAAGCTGCACAAACCCAGAGGTTACGTGTCCTTGGCCACAGCACCACCTGCTGGAGTTTGAGCTACATGACACCCACATGTGCTCCAGACTGAGAGGGCCCGGACTGGGGATTTTAAGCTTGGCTACTACTCTCAGTACAAGCAGGGAGGGCATCAGGTCACCGGATGAGTGTTCCGTTCTTCCCACCTGCACATCTTCCTTCATGTGATAGAGACACTCCTTACTAAAGCATAGCTCTGTGGTCTCTCCCCATGATGCCTTCTTCCTAAATCTCCAAGAGCTCTTCCTTGCTCTAAAGATGGAGAGACCCTTATGCTTACCACAGTCAAGCCTCCAACCATCTCCTCAAAGTCCTTGCCTCCCTAGCTCCATCTTTCTCTGGGGACAGACAGCCAATGTCCCCTTGTTCTTAGCTTGCACCAGATCATTGGCAACCAGGAGTGGGAATATCACCACGTGGCCTCTCAGGTCCTCTCTCCTCCTCGCCCTTTCTAACTGAATTACCCCTTGAGCCCCGTGCTCAAGGCCACGTGTCTATGCTTAACCACACTCTCTTCAGGGTCTGATGCACAGCCCTCCCTCCCCTGACTCATTTTGGTGTTTGTGCGTTCGAGGTTTCTTTCAACACGTCAACGTCTTTCGGTTACTGCAGGGAAAGCTCAATCTGACTGTCAGTGAGACCGAGAACTCCCTGGGGGGGACAAGAACTGTTTCTCTGTTTTACTCTGTCTGCCCCATCTCCTCGGTCCTGTCCTGGCCCCTTTGCAGCCACTGTGGGGAGGGGCTCTAGGGCGCGTGATTAACCTTGCCTTCTCATTCCAGGGATGTTGGATCTGGGGTGGGGGCGAGGGGTTGGTGAGTCAGGGTGCTGTAGATCTAGGACAGGCTCTTTCTGAGGCAGTTCACCAGGGGAACTTGGGGGAATTCGCATGTGTGGTGACAGAAGGACCTGGTCAGTGGCAGTGAGTCACAGGGCTCCTACCTGTCAACAGTCATAAGGCAACTCTGCTCTTGGGCAGTGGTTGGGAATGTCAGGCTTGAGGAGCCACGGACTGAGGTGCTGGGTGTTTCCTGAGTTCTCGGGTTTGCAGAATGAGTATGATGAAAGAAAAATTCCCCAGCACTCCAGCCTGACACCTCCACCCCACTCCACCCTGGGAAACCTTCTCCCCCTCCGGCCCTAAAACTCCCACCTGTCTACTTTCCTAGTCCCCCCCAGACTGCCCAGGAAACCCTGGCTGCCCACCATCGGGCCCCAGAGACACCTCAGACATTGTCCTCTCCGGACCTTCTCAGCCACCGTAGGTAGGGACATGGGAGAGGGAGGAGGCAGAAGCAGGGAAGCAGATGGGAGGCAGGGATGTGAAAGCTGCTGGGAGCTTGTCAGTAGGGTACCAGATCTTTCATCAGTGATACAGTTGGCACTCATTGGGTTCTCATTGCGCTGTCCACATATGGGTGCCCTCACCCCATCCATCCTCATGCATACCCTGGAAGGCACTCACGTGAGGAACCAGCAGCACAAGGCTTCCCTAGGGTCACCCAGCTGGCCCTCTAGCTGTGGAAACCGCACTCCTACCCACTCTTGTTATGTTTATTCCCCTCAAAACATCTTGGAAGCTCCTGTACTCCTATTATATTCTAGAGAATAGAGGCCCAGAGAGGTTAAGCTGCGTTACTGGAGCCACACAGCTATTAAAATGTAGATCAGAGATGTGAATGAGACACTTAGCCTGGGTTCTCATGACTGAGTCATGTGACATTTCTGATGGTCCTCCACAGGACAGGGCAATTCTTGCCCTCTATATTGCCACTGCCACTGGCTGACCATTTCTGTTGCTTCTACACCTCCGTCTCTTGAAGCTGGGTCCCTTCTCTGTCCTGATCCAAGGCCTTGCTGTTCCTCACTCTTTCCAAAACACACATTTAATCTATTGGGTACATCTCTTTGGAAAGCAGGGGTAAAAAGTCTTTGCAGGCTTCCATTCCTTTTAGGATGATGTATGGACCCCCTGATGCTGTCACACAGAGCTGTAAGGATTGTCCCAGCCTGGCTTCGTTTTTGACATGCCCACTTTCCCCCACTCCCCTTGACCTGTGCCTTTTCCTGCTTCTTGTCCCTCTATGGCCTTCACCAGAGCTGAATGAGTAGGAGTCCAAGGTGTATGTGTGACTATATGGAGGTCAGAGGTTGACATCATCAGGGATCTTCCTTGGTTTCTCACCACTTTATTTATTTATTGATTGATTGATTTATTGAGATAGGGTCTCTCACTGAACCTGGAGTTGGCCAGTCCTGAAGACTAGTTGGCCAGCGAGCCCTAGGGATCCCGCAGTCTCTGCCTTCCTAGGGCTGGCGTTCTTGTGTGCATTGCTATGACCAGCTTTTGAACACAGGTTCTGAGGCTCCAAACTCAGGACCTCATGCTTGTGTGTCAATCAGTTTCCTCATTTGCCATGTTGACTTCTGATGGCCATAGAGTCTGAAGTCCCTGCCACATCCTGACCCCTTAAGTCTTCATTTGGCTTGACAACTTCTACACGCTCTTCCCAAACACAGTGTAAATGCGTCCCTGATCCACACTCACAGTTTTGTTTTTGTTTTTCAGTCTTGTCCTCATACCCTAGGGAGTGCTGGAGCATGTTGACATAGATGTTATTTTCCCCACCAGCCTGGCTATTCATAAAATTCTCACTGAATGACACAGTGACTGGAAGAGAAAACCATGAAAGGGGAGTGTTTTCTCCTAACTACCCTGGGCTACCATGTTGGTCTCCACAGCCAGGTTTCTGAAGGGCCGGGAGGGGCTGACCCTGACTCTCCTTCTGACACCATCTATGGATCAGTGGTGAGACAAGAGTCTCTCAAGGGTTCGTTTGTCTTATCTCTGCTTTTGAGAAGTTGTGCTGAGATCTGTGGTCCTATTTCTTGAAGGTGGGAGGGCACCTCAAGGGCTGCTCATTCAAATCACGAAAGAGCCCCGGTTTGGAGTTTTTCATTTTGTATAACAGAAACCCGGCCTCCTCACACACTTCTTGTCTTTGCTGGGCAGACGGAGAGTGAAAAACAGATTCTTTGTGGCCCACCCGTTCTTCCAACGGCCCGGAGGCTGTTTTGAGCAAAGGTTCTGAGCAGTTTCCCCTCACACCAGCAGTTCAGGGTTAGCTGTTGGGGTGCTTTTGAGTTGAGTGAAAAAGCAAGACAACCCCTTCTTCCAGGACCAGGGGTTGCCCCGCCCCCTGTACCAAGGCCATGCGCCTAGCATCCCCAAATCTAGTCCAGGAGAGACTCTATAATGCCCCAGTGCCAGGAAGGCTGGTATCAAACATTTGTTTGTGTTAAACATTTAGACCTTGAATGGGTCAACTGGGGTGGGAGAATTTACACCATGGAATTAGCAAGTGCTATAAATTCAGAACCTTCCCTCTATCCTGGGAGCCGCTTCTTAGAGGTTAATACAGGAAAGGTGGAGAAGGTGGACAGGGTGAGCACTCTGGGACAATGACTGGTGGAGGTAGAAACCTGGGGGTAGGCACAGAAACAGGCTGGTGGCAGAACAAGCTGGAGTAGACAATCAAAATCTAAAAACTACTTGGAGTGATTGATTCCATCCATCCATCTGTCTGTCCGTCCATCTGTCCGTCCATCCATCCATCATCCATCCATCAATCATCCATCTATCCATCTATCTATCCATCCATCATCCATCCATCCACCTATCTATTTATCTGTCTATCCATCCATCATCTGTCTGTCTGTCTGTCTGTCCGTCCATCCGTCTGTTCATCCATCCTTCATCCATCCATCATCCATCCATCAATCATCTATCCATCCATCATCTATCTATCTATCTATCTATCTATTTTTATCTATCCATCCATCCATCCACCATCCACCATCCATCATCTACCCATCCATCCATCATCCACCCATCCATCCATCCATCCATCCATCCATCATTCATCCATCCATCCATTCATCCATCCATCCATCCATCATCCATTCATCCATCTACCCATCCATCCACTCATTCATCTCATCAATGTTTTCTAACTACACCCTGAAACATCTGGGAGGCAGAGGCGTAAAAATAAAACTCTACTTCCCCTGAGTTTCCCGCCAGCAGAGGTGGTCACCACTATATACCTTCCACAGCTGGGTCCAGACCCAGTGTGCAATGCATGCTGGGCAGGGGAGGCAAAGATAAAGGTGCTGCTGACTGTGGTGTGGTGGGGAGGGGTGTGAGGGCAGCACCAGGGAACCTTCACTTTTTAAAGTCAACCCCTTGTGGCTTTGAGGCCACAATGGTGCTTTACTGGCTGATGAGCGGAACCCTCTAGGAACTTGGCCTTTTTAGCCTCAGTGGGGTCTGACTCTGCAGCCGAGATTTATGATTCGTAACTGGGGAGTCTGGGGCTGGTCTACCTACTCAGTGCCTCCTGGGACTTCCCTGGTACTTTGCAATAGTAGAAACAGAGGCTAAGCTGAGAAGAGCAGTCTCTCTGCTGGGCTGTGGTGGGTGGAGTTTATTTAGGGACTCTGATGTGCTTGGAGGTCTGGCTATGGCTTCTCTATGCCAAACGCCGCCCCCACCCCCACTAGTCGCTGGTCCTTTAACTTGCAAAAGGTACTGAGCTAATGGGATGGGTAGGGGGGGGGAGAGAGAGAGAGAGAGAGAGAGAGAGAGAGAGAGAGAGAGAGAGAGGCAGAGGTTGCAGCTTGCATTTGTATTTGCATGATCCCACAACACACAACACTGCCCCCTCCAATTTACCCTTTCTTATAAAACTCTACAGGGTTGGAGATTCAAATCCTGATTTAACAGGAGAGAAAAGGTGGGCACAGACAAGGAGCAGGGTGTCCTGAGGTGCCAGAGAACGTCACCTATCACTCCCAGCTGAGAACAAGTTCTATCCAGGTCAAACAAGGTCAGCCAGCCACACTCTCTATTCCCTGCTGCTTTAGAAGATGCCACTTTATTCCCCCTGTTCCTTCTGGCATCTGTTGCCGATCCCTCCCTTTCAGATGGGTCTGAAAGGGCAGGCACATCCTCGGGGGCAGGGGGCAATAGGGTGACATTATCTGAAAGCAACTGCCAGTTCATACCGACTGCCTTGGTTTCTCTGGCGGCTCCCCTCAGGACACCCTAGACTCATTGCCCAGAGTCTGGTTTTTCTTCTCGCATGAGGAGGCTTACTCACCCAGGTCCATGATGCTTTCTGGGCAGCTGAAGTCACACAGGAAGGCTGTACTTGTGTCTCTATCTCCAGCTACCCCTGTCTGGGAGGAAGTGGTATTGAGCCCCTTTTAAGTAGTAAGAGAATCCACCCTCGTCCTTGCCCCTCCCACCCCTGCTCCTCCCTCAACCCTCCCTCAGAGTCTTCTGAGACCACAGGGTCTAAAAAGTATCAGCCCCACTCAGCGGTCATAGGACTCTGAATCACGGGTCCTTTACACGCTGAAGGGTCCTGGTAGCACCTGGTAGAGCCTCGGCGAGGGACTCTTTCCATCTGTGATGCCCAGCTAGCTGACTGGCTGTGCCACAAGGCTCAGGAGTCAGAGATGGGTTTCGTCCTTCTCTTTGTTTTGAAGGAAACTCTTTTCAAACCGGTATGAACCTGAACAAGAGCGACTGTCCCAGCATCCACCTGCAAGGTCCCTTGAGGGGTCTGGCCATCATGGATGGGTCGGTAAGCCTTCAATGACAAAAAACCACAAAGTGAAAGTTGAAAGAGTTTGCTTTCAGTGTTTAAAGATGCTAGATAGGAGAGTGCCTGTAACCCCTTGGCTTTCTCTGCCACCAGAGAGGACACAGGTGTCTGTGCCTTTACCAAGCCTAAGCTATTATCCAAACTGGCTCCCTACAGAGAAATTTATTTATTTATTTATTTATTTATTTATTTATTTATTTATTTATTTATATTTCTTGAGGCAGGGTCTCATTTATCATCTAGCCCAGACTGGCTTCACACTTGCAACATAGCTGAGGATGACCTTGAACTTCTGGTTCTCCTGCCTCCACTTGCCCTGTGCCGGGATGAACAGGCACACACTACCATGCCCCATTTCCCCCAGCACACACTCCCATGCCGCATTTCCCCCAGAGGGAGACTAGTAATTCGCGTTTTAAATTAAAACATTATTTGTATTAATTCTATTGTTTTGTGTGTATGACTTGTGTACACATGTGTTTGTGCGTAGTCGTCTGCATGAATATGGGAATTTCATGCCACTGCTTGTGTGTGGAGGTCGGAGGACAACTCCAGAAGCCAGCCATCTTCCCTTTTTTTGGAGGTTCTGGGGATTTGAACTCAGTTCCTCATGCCTGTGAGGCAAACTCTTTTATCCACTGAGCCAGCTCCTCAGTCCAATTAAGTGAGTTTAAAGCAAACACAAGAGTTCATGCTGGGCTTGTTAGGTGGTCACTAAGTTCTAGAGCAAATAACTGAATGTTCCATTTCCAGGAAAGACACCTGTACATTTTTATCTCTGGCCACTGGCTGTAGTCAGTTCAGTGAGGGACAGTACCTGGTACGGAGTTTGGAATGGCTTAGCCTTGCTTCTGTACTAAATAGTTTAAAAACAATTGCCATGGCAACATAATGCTTCAAGCACTCACTTGATCCCCTTGTTCTGCCCAGTGTATAGGGACTACCTTTTCCAGACAGTTTTCCCTTTGGTTTCTGGGGAGAACTGACCAATAAGGATGCACTGACAGGCAATGGAAGGTTAAAAGACAGGGCTATGCCAGGATGTCTCTTTTTTTTCTAAATTAAAAAAACAAAACAAAACAAAACAGTTTTGTTTAGATATCATTCATATGCTATAGTATTTGCCTGTAAAAAAGATTTATTAATTTTTATTTTATGTGCATGAGTGTTTGCCTGAACGGACTTACGTGTACCACATGTGTGCCTAGGGCCTGTGGAGGACAGAAGAAGGCATTAGATCCTCTGGAACTGGTTATTGGTGGTTGTGAACTGCCACATGGGTGCTGGGAACCAAACTTGGGTCTGTGGCAAGAGTATCAAGTGCTCTTAACTGCTGAGCCATCCCTTCAGCCCCAACATCTACCCTTTTAAAGTAGACCTTTCCACGGTGTGTATATAGTCACAGAATTTCCTGCACCATGGTAAATACTGAATTATTTTTAAGTTAAATCTTCTGCCGTCATTACCAATGGTTCCCATTTCTTCCCATTCACACAGACCCTCATAGTCACGGATCTACTTTCCCTCTGTGGATTTGCTTCTGATGGTTATTTCACAAACACAGACATGTGCCACATGTGACCTTTGTACCTGCCTTCTTTTAACTAGGTTCATCTATGTGCAGTATGTTTCAATTCTTTATTACTTTCTGTGGCTGAATAGTAATCCACTGTCTGGATATACCACACTTCTTTTCTCTACCACCAGTTGGCTATTTGAATTGTTTCTACTGTTTAGCTATCATAATTGCTGCTATTGATATTTGTATACAAGTCATTATTCTAATTTACTTTTCTGTGCCTGTGAAGAGACACCATGACCAAGGCAACTTATAAAAGAAATCAGTTTCAGAGGGTGAGCCCATGACCATGATGGTGGGGGACCTGGCAGCAGGCAGCAGGCAGGCAAACAGGGTATGGGAGTAGTAGCTGAGAGCTTTTGTGTTGAGGAGAGAGAGACAGAGACAGAGACAGAGACAGAGAGACAGAGGGAACTGGAACTGGTGTGGGCTTTTGAAACCTCCTCCATCAAGGCCACACCTCCTGACCCTCCCAAAACAGTTCCACCGACTGGGGATCAGGTATCCAAACATATGAGCCTATGAGACCCTTTCTCGTTCAAGCTTCCTCATCCTTTATCCCAGAAGTTTCTCTCTCATCTCATTGATTATTCTTTCTCATCTCACTTATTAAGCTTATATGTTGCATCCCTAGCGAGACACTGAAGCAGGGACCTTGGGACGGCTGCCTTGTTACACCAGGTTAGATCAAGAGAACCGAAAAGTCAAAACAGGACCCTCTACAACTGGAACTCCCATGAAAGCCCATGGCACCCTGAGGACCACTGTGGCCCATGTTGTGATGAGCACGTGTTTGTGTATGAGCATCAATTCTGAGTTTGTATTCTCCAATTGCAGCTTCACAGACTCCAAGGTATTAAACAAAGGCAAGTCCACAGGAGAAGCCAATTAAAAGAAAGTACCCTGACTCCATCTTTGGCCCTTTGAAACTGGCTGCCTTATGGAAGTGGAGGCTGTTCGACAAGGCACACTCAAGTAGCAGGTGCTTAGTGAGCAGTTGATTGATGGATGGTGTGACTTCAACTTTTCCCTGAGATGGTGACCCTGTCTTCTTTCTTATTTCTTTATTAGAAGCTGATTATAGGAGCTGGGCAGTGGTGGCGCACAACTTTAATCTCAGTACTCGGGAGGCAGAGGCAGGCAGATCTCTGAGTTTAAGACCAGCCTGGTCCACAGTGTGAGTTTCCAGGATAGCCAGGGCTACACACAGAAACCCTGTCTTGAAAAATCAACCAACCAACCAATAAATACATTTTAAAAAATTTTAAAAATAAAACTGACTACAGAGCCCAGTTGAAGCAGTAGCTTGAATAGGATTTGTATTGTTTCAAAATAGATACTCTTGATCTTAGGTATGGATCCTATCTGCTTTTCAAACATTTAAAAACATTTAGAGAGAGAGAGAGAGAGAGAGAGCGAGAGAGAGTTTGTGGGCAGGCACATGTGCCACAGCATGCTTGTTGAGGTCAGAAGACATCTTGCAGGAGATATTTTTCTCTTTCCACCATGTCAGCTCCTGGTATCGAACTCAGCTTGTCAGGCTTGGCAGCGAGCACCTTTACCCACTAAACCATCTTGCCTACCCCAGAACCCTATCTGATTTGTTTCTCAATGATCTCATTTATTCATTCAGTAAGTATTTGAGGTAAGCTTATGTGTTTAGCACGGTGTCGGACTGTACTGATCTAAAGACAAGCACACATGATCCCTGGCCTTGCTAAGTTTATATGGAGTGTGTAGTCCATTTGGATTGTCATAACAAAATATCACAGGCTGGGTGGCTTAAATAACAGAAATTGGCCAGGTGTGGTGGTCCATGCCTTTAATTCCAGCACTCAGGAGGCAGAGACAAGCGGATCTCTCTGAGTTTGAGGCCAGCCTGGTCTACAGAAGGGAGTTCCAGGGCAGTCAGAGGTGTTACGCATAGAAACCCTGTCTTGAAAAACCAAAACCAAGAAAAAAAAAAGTCCCACAACAACAGAAATGTATTTCCTCATGGCTCTGGAGGCTGGAAGTCCCGAGTCACGGTTTAGCAGGGTCAGTTTCTGGTGATGGCAGTTACATACTACTGAATTAGGACCCTACTCTCTGCCTCCGTTTAATTTCAACTTCCTCCTTAGATGTCTGACTCTTCAACCCGGCCCTTTGAGGACTAGGACTTCAGTGTGTGCTCTTTCTGGGCGATGGTCCTGGGAAATATCCAGTCCATAAGAGTGGGGACGATGGGCAACGTCGTGATTATCAGCCGAGGTTTCTGGTACAGAGGCTGAGGCAGGAGGATTGCCACAAGTACAAGGCCAGCTAGGGCTGCATATAGAATACCAGAGATGCCAGCTTTACAGAAGGAGACTCCATGACCTAAAAGATTCAAACAACAAAACAAAATGAGGCAAATTACAAGCAATATGAGAAGAGGGAAAGCGCCCATGAACATGTTAGTGAAGGACATGGAGGTAGAGAAGAGTTCTGGAAGCTCAACAAATATCACTTGGCAATGTTTGTGATGCGCCCAAGCCTCCACGGCATTACTTTTACAGCTTTATATATCATACATTAAATATCACGTATTTCAAGATGTTTAAGAAACAATGAAAGACACCATTGACTGCAACATTGCGGGAGTTAGCGAGGGGGACAAACTTGGCTTAGCATAGGAGCGGTAGGAAGCCAATTCAGATGCCCGTGGGAGCAGGGGTACCAGGCGGGGTGTGGAGCGGCCCAGGTGAGGGAGGAAGGCAGTGCTGAGTGGTCAGAAGTCTCACTCAGTCAACTTCAAAAGGGTTGCTGAACTTGGTCGTTTGGAGGGCAGAGAGAGCCACACTGCTTAACTTGGCCTCATTTCAGAGCGACGTGGCCACTGGGCCCGATTTCTGGCTTTGATGCCTGTTCTTTGGCTAGGCTGTGTTTGGCATGTGAGATAGCTTTGGTTGGTATGTTTGAAATGAGGCTCTCTGTGTTGCTGTGGGAAGTAATGACATGCTAGACTTTTAGGCGTCAGTCTGTGTCAGTCTGGCCATTTATCCAGCAACCATTGATGAAAAATCTACTGCAGAGGTTTGGGGGTAGTTACTCAGATTTTAGGGTCTATCAGTCATAGTCTGGGGCTTCTAGCCAGGGACAAATAATATCTCCAGGTTTCTACTTGTCTTCTATATTTCCAAGCACAGGCTCCATCGCCACAAGTTCAAGGCCAGTCAGGACTGCAGGTAGAGTCCCAGACCTGCCAAGTTTATAGACTGAGACTCTATGACTTATCTCGTGTAACCCACAGGCTGTTGTGTTTGGTAGGTTTCTATTCTGCGACCCCAGAAACTGAGACTTAGTTTCAAAGCTAAGGGGTTTTCTCCTGATGTCAAGCTAGCTACTGCTGATGCAGGGCCTGGCCTTAAAGGGCCAGAATTATGACTCTGACCTCTCTGGCTGGAAAAGATCCCACTACACAAGGCTCACTATATTCACCCTTTTTCTTGGAGCATATATGTCACCGCTTCTTTTGGAGAAGTTCTGCCCAGGGGCATAGGTTTCAGAGCGTGAGTGGGAACCAGGACCTAGAAGTCACCTTCAAAACCTTGTCACCCAGCCACTTCACCGATGACTTGATTATTCACAGGACGAAAGAAGACTTAGCCTAGCATGAAAGAATGCAGCAAGTCTTGAGACACCGCGAGAAGGTCCTTGACCTGAAGAGGCCCAGGAGAAGAGCCTGAGCAGAAACGTCTGGATGGAACCAGGTCTGCAGAAACTTCCTGTTGTCTTTCTTGCACAGGGCATGCACACTCAAGCACCAGCTTTCTTGTCCACTGACATCACCCAATGCATTCTAGTCCTCTCAGGCTTACAATTCAATGAGTAAAGTCTAACTAAAATTATTCCTCTTACCCCTGTCCTCCGCCCCCCACCTTCAAGCTCTGTTAGATGTTCCCCGGGAATGATCAGTGTGCTGGCTAGTTTTTTTTCAATTTGACACAAGCTAGAGTCCTTTAGGAAGACAGAAGCCTCAGTTGAGAAAAAGCCCCCATCAATCTGGGAAAGCCTGGGAAGCAGTTGTTTGTTTGTTTGCTGAGTGATGTGGGAGGGGCCAGTTCACTGTGGGTGGTGTCGCCCCAGGCCTGGTGGTCTTGGGTGAAGGGTTGCAGATCTAAAAAGTTATCAGGCAGCTGAGAAACTCCAGATAGGAAAGCTGATACACTGATAAGATCTGCAGGCAGTTAGGAGCTGGGGCTCTGCTCAAAAGAAAGTCAACATATGGATAAGAACCTCCCTTGGTGTTTACAGCTCTGAGACTTCAGGGAAGCGGCTGCAGATGGAATTTTCCAACCTCAAAAGTTTCCTTTCTGTCCTATAAAGCCCTCAGGCCCCCTGCACCTTGGTGCACAGTCCCCTCCCGCTCCCAGAGGGCGCACTGCCTATCACAGTCCTACCAAGAACTATGTGTTTCTGTTGAAGTACATCTCCCCTTCCTTCCTTCCTTCCTTCCTTCCTTCCTTCCTTCCTTCCTTCCTTCCTTCCT